GCCCCCCCCCCCGCCGCAAGGTGTTCGAGGGCCAGGAGGAGTGGGGCAAGGAGATCCCCGAAGTCTCGCTCGACCTCAATCGGCACATCGTGCCCGAGTGGATGCTGCGCAGGTGTAGGCTCGCTCCCACCACCGTCGCTGGCTCCGAGGCGCTGCGTGGGCGCGCGTCGGGCAGTGGCAGTCGATCGCATAGCCAGGAATCGGGCGCGCGCCTCGGCATGCCGGTGCCGCAAGTGCAGGTGCGCACGGGCGATGGTGCGGACACGGGGCCATGCTCGCCGCTGGCGTCGTACGAGCGTGCGGCGCGCTACCGCTCCTCGCGGCCCACCTCGTCGTCGTCGCAGGCAGAGCGCAAGGAGTTCAGCTCGAGCCCGCTCACGCCCGCCGTGTCGCCGGATGCCTCGCCGCGCTCCACCAGGTCCATGGGCCACGCCGCCGACTGGGGCGGACGCGCCACACAGCTCGACTCGGAGCGGCTGCACTCGTCGAGCTACGGCCATGCGGCTGCCGGCCTGGGTCCTCTGTCGCGCTCGCGCAGTCCGGCTCGCAGCGCGCTCAGCATGACGAGCCGGACGCCGTCGCACGCCTCGCACGCGTCGCAGCCAGCCGTCGGGCTGGGGTACGGCGCACAGGCGCTCAACGGCATCCACGGGCGCGGCATCACCACGGTGAACCGCAAGCTGCAGGAGCAGGTGCTGCGCGAGGTGTTTAGCAGCCCCATGCTCAAGGACGGCCTCGAGCCGCGCTACGGCTCGAGCGCCAAGCGGAATGCGCGCAAGAATCGCCGCCGGCTCGCAAGGGCGTGGGAGGAGAGCGAGGAGGGCGAACGACTGCGGGCGACGCGCAATCTCGGCAACACGCCCAGGGAGACGCTCACGGCGGCAAGTGCGCTGCGCAGCGACGTGCGCACACCTGACCCCGTCAGCAGCGGCAGGATGAGCGTCGCGAGCGAGTTTACGCCCACCGCCGCCTCGTCGCCCATCCACTACAGGGGGCAGGCTAGGCATCCGTCTACGCCGCCGCGCACGCCGCCGTTGGGCGCCACCAGCTTGACCGCCTCGTCGTCGGCGTCGTCCCGGCTGCCGACGGCGGTGGAGAGAGAGTCGCCCAGTGCGGCGCTCAAGAGCGCAGCGCGGTCGGACGTGCTGCAGCAGCATCCAAGGCGCGTGCTCAGCGACGTCTCGCTGGCGCTCAGACCGGAACGCACCGCACAGGCGGCTAGCGGTCTTGCCAACGACACCACGCTCGATGCGGAGCGCCCCGCAGCGGAGCTCGACGCGCTCGATGGCGAGGTGGAGAAGCTGTCGCTTGCAGAAGACGTGCCTCTGGTGTCGGAGCCCGCGGAAATGGGCGAGGCGGGCGCAGCGGGGCAGACGCGGCAGGAGCAGTTCTTGCTCATGGAGGATCTTACGGGTCGGTTGAAGTCGCCGTGCGTGCTGGACCTCAAGATGGGCACGCGCCAGTACGGTCTAGACGCGACGGACGCCAAGAAGAAGAGCCAGACGAAAAAGTGCGACAAGACAACGTCGCGCTCGCACGGCGTGCGCATCTGCGGCATGCAGGTGTACGACTGCGTTCGCTCCACGTTCATCTTTCAAGACAAGTACTACGGGCGTAAAGTTTTGCCGTCCGAGTTCGCGGGGGCGTTGGCGCGGTTCTTCTACGATGGCGAGCGTGTGCTGATGCATCATGTGCCGCTGATCCTGCAGAAGATCTACCACCTGGCGCGCATCGTGTGGCGCCTGCGCGGATATCGCTTCTACGCCAGCAGCCTGCTGTTCATCTACGACGGCGACTGCGATACGCAGCGACGGCTGGAGGAGGAATTCGATGCGCGCTGCAGACAGGGTTGTGGAGGCACTGTGGCGCCGAGCCAGATGATCGTCGGAAGCAACGTGGCCGAAGCGATGGATGAAGGGGCGAGCTACAGTATCGGCTCGAGCCCGTTGTTGGGTCCGTTGGGTGCGGTGCATCCAGCTAGCGGGTCGGAAGTTGCGAGGAGAAGACGAAGGAAGGGCGAGATCAACATCCGAATCATCGACTTTGCCCACTGCACTACGGGGCACGACTACGATTTCGAGGCGCACGCCCCCGGTGCACCAGGCTTGCCCAAAGCACGCTTCCCGCCCAAGCTCACCGACGGCCCCGATAGCGGCTACCTGTTTGGGCTGCAGAATCTCGCACGCAGCTTCGAGGAGATCTGGCAGACGGAGCGCGAGCGCCGACAAGAGGTGCGCACCACGCTCAGGCAGAATGGCGACGAGCGGGACGAGGACGAGCACGGACGGTATGTTGGCGATCTCGGCGAGCTCAAGGTGGCGGGCGGCGAGGTGTTTGATGAGATCTTTGGAAACGGGCCGCACGGGCTCCACGGCTATGTGTCCACCTAGGGCGTGCCTCGACTTGGTGCGCTCTGTTTGTCTTCCGATGCGCGCCCATCACCGAGTCACTTTGATACTGCGGCTTAGCGCATGTATTGAGGGGGGAATGGCAGTGCATTGCTATCGTTGTGGCGGACTGTGCAGCGTGAACTAGGGCCTGCCCGATGACGCCATGTGCAGATCGCTAGCTGCGCGATCTAACAAAGCACACCATCCAGGATTCGCAACGGCTCAAGCCCGAGCGGCACTCCGGGTCGGAACAGCGTTCGAAGCTCGAATCGAGTGTCGGTGCGAGGTCGAGGCGGGGCAGCGTGAGCCAAGAACAGGCTTTGAAAGCTTGAGCGGAGTGATGGTGTCGAGGGCCGATTGTGGGTGTTGATAGTTGCGGATGCGGAAGTGGAGAATCGAAAAGAATGCAGCCGAGGGTTGGAGTGTCCACGTGCAGAGGCTTTGTGCGACCTGCGCGCATCGTCACGACCATCATCCGCTATCGGCGCGATCCACAAAATGGCCACGTAGACGTGCTCTCCACCTCGGACCACCATGCGCAGTTGTACATCTGCACTCGTCGCTTGGGCGGCTGTGCTCGCGCACGCGCTCCTCGTCTCGGCCAGCCAGACGGTGTTCTCAGCGCCGAGCAATGCTTCGATCGAGCGCAAGCCGTTCGGCCGCTTCTTGCACATTACCGACCTGCATCCGGATCCGCACTACAAGCACGCCTCTGCTGTCCATGCAGCATGCCACCACACCAAACCCAAGAAGCACAAGGCCGACGGCAAGCAGCGTGCAGGATGGTTTGGTACGGCGCTAAGCGACTGCGACTCACCCCCGCGTCTCGTCGAATCCTCACTCCAGTGGGCAGCAAACAACCTCGTCGGCAAGGATGGCGGGATCGACTTTGTCATCTGGACCGGTGATTCGGCGCGGCACGACAACGATGACAAACTGCCGCGCTCGAGCAAGGAGATCTTCGAACTCAACCGGTGGACGCTGGACCAACTCGAGCGTGCTTTCCCCGGCGTACCGCTCGTACCGAGTGTGGGCAACAACGACATTTTCCCGCACAACATCCTCTTTCCGGGGCCGAATGCGGTCACCAAGGAGTACGTGCAGATCTGGCAGGACCACGTGCCCGAATACGAGTTCCACACCTTTGAACAGGGCGGCTACTATGTCAAGGAACTGCTGCCCAACAGGCTCGCAGCAATGAGCCTCAACACGCTGTATTTCTACGACAACAACAAGGCCGTCGATGGATGTGTTCGCACCAGAGGCAAGCACAAAGACGTCGATCCCGGAACGGCCCAACTCGACTGGTTGGAGGTGCAGCTGGATCTGTTCAGACAGCGCGGCATGCAGGTACATCTGCTGGGTCATGTTCCGCCCACCGCGGGCAACTACTTTGCACGATGCTACAAGCGGTATACGGATATCGTTCTGCGGTTCCAGGATACCATTGTGGCGCAGCACTTTGGTCATATGAACACCGACGCGTTCTTCATCCAGGAAGACCAGGAGGCCGTCTACACCGCAGCGCACAACGATGCAGAGGTGCTCCAGGAGGGTCTGCCGGGCGATCTGAGACAGGACTACTCGACACTGCCGGGTAAGGGGCGCACGGACGAAGATCTCTACTCGGTGTTCTTTATTGCGCCCAGCATCATTCCGACCTACTATCCGTCCATGCGGCTCTGGACGTACAACACCACCGAATCCGCGCGCTACACCGCCACCACCACCACCAACACCACACAAGACGACGACGACACAGACGAGGTAGAGCAAGAAGACGACGATGTAGATCTAGACGACGACGAGGGGATGGTGGGCGTGCGGTCCAGACACCACCATCGGCCGGTGCCGCCCAAGAAACGCAAGGGCAAGAAGCACAAGAAGCGGCGGCGGGCGCGGCATGCTTCGGCGGCGTCGCCGTCGCGCACCAACACCTACCTCAGCCTGCTGGGCTACAGCCAGTGGGTGATGGACATTGATGCGCAGAACGACGCCGTCGAACGCATCCTCCACCGCGACACGCTCAAGAAGCACGACGACGACGACGAAAAGCGCCGCAAGGAGGCCGAGGCGGTGGAGGTAGACTACCGGCTCGAGTACGCCACCTACCCCGGCTCGGTTTTGTGGGCCGCGTTCCACCCGGAATCCGGCTACACGGGTCCAGAGGCGGTGCCCAAGAGGTTGCTTGAGAAAGAGCTGCACCGCGCAGGCGTTGCGTCGCCCTGGAGCAAGGGCAAGCTGGCCAAGCCGCTGCGGCGCATGAGCGAGTATGCGCTGGAGAGCGTGAGTGTGCGCACCATGATGGACCTGGCGCGACGACTGATGGTCGACAAGAAGCTCTGGCGGCGGTTTGTACGACGCATCTATTCCGAGAGCGGCTACGAGCCGTGAGGCGCAATGTTCAGTGCCATGTCCCAGTCGGCGTGAGAGCGCAGTCGCGCAGCGTGGTTCCACAGCGCCAAGTCAAACGTGTGGTCGAGCGGTTTGCACACCAGCGCCTCGAGCACAAACAAGCGGCTGGGCAGCTGGATGTCGGTGCGCAGCGGAAACACGGTCGCGGCGACTTGGGCGTCGATGGGAGGGATGGGTGCGGGTGCAGTGGCAAACGCGAGGTCGATGGGCGTTGAGCGCCGAGTGAGCGTTCCGAGTACCATGAGTGGGGTCTTGAGTGGTGGCGAGGGGACGGCGCAGAGGGAAAGGTCCACAAGCACCGAGCTGGGCGGGTGGCCGGTGCGGGGATGCAGGTCCGAGAGGATGAGCAGTGTGCTGCTGGCGAGAGCGGTCACTGTGCCTGCCACGCGCAGCTTGCGACCGGCAAAGAGCGACGGCTGCACATCGTTGATGGGTACCAGCTGCGCAGGCTCCGCTCGCGACATGAGGCCATCCTGCTTGGTGGTTGGTGGTTGGTGGTTGGTGGTCAAGTTGCCCACGCGTCCGGAAAAGGAGTGTTGGTCTTTTCTTCTCGCCCACCACCGCGCGTCTTGATCTCCACCCACCAACCATGGCGTCCACCTCTTTACGCCAGCGTCACCCGCCTTCCCGACCGACGAGCAATGGCTCACCCGCAAAGCGCAGCGTGGCTCGGGCGCTGGTGGCGACTTCGGCGTCCGAGTGGCTTGCGATTCTCGCGCTCATCTTTGGCGGATGCTGCTCCAACGCCTACACGCTCGAGCTCGCCACGCGCCAACTACCGTCCTCGGGCACGCTGATCACCTTTGCCCAGTTCCTCGTGACGACACTATCGGCGCTACCGCACTTCATCCAGAGGAGCGAGCGTGCGCCGTGGATGGAGCTCAAGCCGCGCGTCGTGCCGCTGTACCGCTGGGGCGTGCAGGTGGCGCTGTACCTCTCGAGCAGCCTGCTCAACAATACCGCGTTTGCGTACAACGTGCCCATGTCGGTGCACATCGTCTTCCGCTCCGGCGGGCTGGTGATCAACATGGTGCTGGGCTACGCCGTGCAGAAGACGCGCTACTCGCTCGCCCAGGTCGCCAGTGTGCTCCTCGTCACCGCCGGCGTCGTAGCCAGCACCTTCTCCTCCCAATCGGGCCCATCCACATCCAAGCAAGAGCGAGGCGAGGTGGGCGAGTATGCAACGGGCGTGGCACTGCTATTTGCCGCACTCGTGATCACGGGGTTGATGGGCTTGTGGCAGGAACGCACGTTCCGCCTGTACGGCAACCAGAACTGGCGCGAGAGCATGTTCTACTCGCACCTCCTCTCGCTTCCGCTCTTTGCGCTGCGTTCGCGCGCGCTGGCGACCGACATTGCAGCTGCCAACAACACCACGCCGTGGTACTTTGGCACGCACCATCCCCACCCCACACGCCGCGCTGACTGGGCTGCACTTCTCAAATCGCCCACGCTGGACCTCACCCCCGCGCGCGTCTTTGCACTGGACCACCTCGTCCCCGCCCTCCCCGCAGCCTGGGGGAAGGGCGTGTGGGTGCCGAGTTTCTGGCCGCCGCTCGTGCTCAACGTGGCGACGCAGCTGCTGTGCATCAATGGCGTCAACCGCCTGACGGCGCAGGTGAGCTCGCTGTCCGTGACGCTGGTGCTGGTGGTGCGCAAGGCACTCAGCCTGCTCGTATCCGTGCTACTCGTCCAGCGCTCCACCGGCACGCCTGCACTGTGGACCGGCGCCGCCGCCGTCCTTGCTGGCACCATCACATACTCGCTCTCCAAACCTCCCCCCAGCGCCAAAAAGACATTGTAGAACAATTGCAATTGACAGTTCAGCCTCGACCGCGGCGCACGAGCAGCCCGAACATCAGCGCGGTACATGCGCTCAGCGAGAACCTACGGGCAAAAGCAGTGTCAGTTTGTGTAACGTGCAACGAGAGGGAAGGAGGGAGAGGGGAGGGGAGGGGAGGGGGGCTTACCAAGTGGCGGCGTA